AAAGGTTGGACATCCAAATCGGTCTAAACTAGTGAATATTGTTATTTTCCAGACGGGAAACTTCTGTATTTGGTATGCCCTTGATGGATTCAAGTTATTTGAATAGCACATGGATGTTCAGTATATTTATCTGTATTTGACCACCTATTGATCGGCGCACATGGCTCATAATGGGAATAATAATCTCTCCATGGCGTGGTGCCATCGTCTGTGGCTGCATTGTTCACAGTTGAACTCGGTCTCAAATGATGGGCGCCTTGTCATCAATCTGACTATCATCTGACATGAATGAACACGGCACATGTGAACTCTTATTCTCCTAGTGATAGTTTCCCTTCAACATCTCCAAATCTGGATCACCGTGAGTTACTGTCGTCCGTTAATCTAACAGTCTTGANTGCCTTACTGCATAGGGGTGACTTTTACGAAGAATGCTGTTCTTTAGCTCAGTATCTGACTGCATGGACAACAGACGGGATATCTACTGAATCAACAGAGTTTGTACAATATCGAACATCCCCAGAAAGGACCGTATATCCATATCTTCTTTCAGACAAACGAGGGTCATAATATGAACTCTGTCACCATACAGCTCCCGTGCGAACGGTCAATAAAATAGTTTAGCGCCTTTGCACACTGCTAACGCATTAAAAAAACATGCCTGTGCAAGACTATGGCATTATATGACAAGAATTGATCAAATTATTCATTATTGACTGCACTTGAGACTAGTGGCTAATTTTCAATGCTAAAACGGTTGGTGTGACTAAATTTGAAATATGCTCTTATATTAAAGTACGGTTTGCTTTACATATACCGCCAAAACAGATGCAGAATGGTGCAGCACAAAAGGTACTTCTACCGTCACATTGAAACGTTTTTTCAACAGTGGAATAATATATTCGAGAATGGTAAAGTTGACATCAAAGAGGACACACGGTCAGGCAGAGCAATTGTTGCTGCATTAGAGAAAAATATCGCAGCTGTGAAAGCAATGATTTATGATGATGGTCATTATACTGTTTCGGAGATAGCTTTCATAGTTGGCATTTCAGGAGGAAATACATATCACGTTCTGACCAAGTGCTGAAATTTAAGAAGCTGTATGCACAATGTATCCCCCATTTGCTGACATCTGAACAAAACAGCAAACGTTTAACATGAGCTATATATACATTGGTCGCAACGTAATCGTCCTCGCCGCAAACCCATCGGAAGAAAATGTTGTGTCTCTCTTTAAATCTGTCAAGCCAGCCGTTGCAAAGTTTGAAGCCGTTGCCTAGTCTGGCAGCGTAATTTCCAGTCTTGGCCTGTATCATAGGCCCAGGGACGGGGATGTTCTGATTTCTGGCACTCCTAAACCATCGAATAACAGTAGTCTACGTCTCTGGACTGTGTGACGTCCGCTGTCATTCCGGCTGGGGCTAAGGTCACTGTCGAAGAACACCCTCTTGATTATTTCGCTGGATTTCAGTTCCATGAAAAGGGTGTTTTGGAGGACGTTGAAGTCGTCTCCAATCTGTGACTTGGTCTTGTCGTCCTTATCTATTGCAAGGATGGCGTGATATTTTTTCGCTCATAGTCACGATCCGAAACGTTACTGTTCGCTGCTCTGGTTGCTCACCCACTTCTTTATGTAAACAAAACTCAGATTTATTTAGACCTATCGTATTTAAACCTAAACACAAATATTGCACTAGCGTGAATGACCGAGGTTTACCAATTTTGCACAAATTTTGCTCCTACTATTTAGCTCTCAGAGAACTTTGGAAAGAAAGTTCGATTGTGATATTACCAGCAGAAAAGGGCAGGGCTACAGTGATTTTAGACAAAGAGGAATACGAAGAGAAAGTTAAGGCCTTACTCAGTGACACCAATACATATGAAGTTCTCCAGAAAGACCCTATCCGAAAATATAAAAATAAGATGATAGAACTTCTGGCCAAAATAAGAGATGATTCACGCATCACAGATCAGCAATACAAGTTCATATACCCGACATCAGAAAACTACCCTAGATTATATTGCACGCCCACAATCCATAAAGCCGGCTACCCGATGCGTCCTATAGTGGACTACTCTGGGTCAATTGATTACTATCTGCCACGATCCTTAGCAGATATACTGTCGCCATTGGTAGGTATAACATACCACCATGTCAAGAATTCCAAACATTTAGCATCTGACTCGGAAAATGTAATTATTGAAGAACAAGACAGTTTCAACTCCCACGACGTGGTTTCACTGTTCACCAACACACCAGTACAGGAGGCCTTCAATATCATCAGAGAGAGATTAAAAGCAGACATTTGTCATGGACACGACATACTTTGTGTTCAGAGGTCAGGTGTACCAACAGAAAAACGGTACTGCTATGGGAAGTTATATGTCACCTAACGTCGCGTATCTGTTCATGGAACACCTAGAGCAGACCGCCATTAGATCGCCAACGATTGGAATGCTGCCCCAAACATTGAAATATATATGTAGATGACATCCTAGTAATAATAAAAAAGGGAGCAGTGCAGGGCCTTACAGATCACCTGAACCAAGTGGACAATACAAACTCGATTAAATTTACCAAAGAGGAGGTAAAGGATGAAACTTTATCATTCTTGGACACGCTCATCGTCTGTAAAGAAAACGGCACCACTAAACTGTTAGTGTACCGCAAACCCGCACACACTGATCGATATCTGGCTTTCAATTTCCACCATTCATAACACCAAAAGATTGGAGTCGTACGTACAAGCATCGACAGATGCAACAACATCGTCATACAGCAGGACGATCGACACAGGGAATAACAGCACATAAAAGAAGCACTCAACCGTTGTGGCTACCCCGACTGGTCAATCAACAAGGTAAAACGCGCTGTACAAGAATCGACAGAAAATAGAAAACCGAGACAGAAGAAAAGTTATGAGAGTCAAACCAAAAGCAAAGGCTGAGCCACTATACCCTACGTGAAGGGTACATCAAAGGGGTTTGCACGGGTGATGAGGAAACACCATTTCAGCACCCCGATGAGACCACTGACATCCCTCAGACGGTTACGGATGCACCCCAAAGACAAGACTGACATGTTAGACAAAACAAGGGTTATATATCAAATTCCATGAAAAAATTGTCAGCAGTCATATATAGGTGAAACTGGGAGGAATTTGGTACACGTCTGAAGGAACGTCCAAAGGACGTAGAGAAAATGAGCAACATCACATTCATCAGATCCACACGCAAAACATCCGCCACTCAGTACAATAAATCGGCACTAACATATCACGCTAACACCCAAAATCACATCGTCGTTTAGGACGATGCCAAGATAGTGGAAAAGGGAACAACACACGAAAACGAGACAAAATAAAGAAGCATCAAAATCAGGAAAACACAGAACATGAACAGAGACGATGGGGGACACCAGCTGAGTCATCTATTTGACCCGATACTGACATAACAGGGGACGTGGCTAGATATACACCCTACGTGTAACCTATCTGGTGCAGTGTGTATACGCTCCCTATCGATAGGCGAAACGCCTCGGGTCGAATGACATGAATAATATACAATTTCGTCACGTCGTTGTAAAGGTAAACAATACAAATCACTCACTCAGTCATAGTTTGGCAAAGGAACAAGTCGGTCTTGAAACATTTAATACGTTTAATACGTACATTGTTTGTGTAGAAAGTAACACTTTGATATCAATTGACTTGATGCTTAAGAGTTTTTTTCCTGAAGCTGTCTGGCTACTTAGGGGCAAGGTCTTGACCTTCCCTGGACAGTTGCTAATCCAATGCCATGGGCCGCTGCGTAAAAAACAGATTAGAACTCCGCGATCTCCAATACTGTTCTGACATCTTTATTTATACAAGTTCACTTAAACAAAAAAATCCAGAAAAAACAACTACACATATAGAACAGACTCTTGAAATAGTCTCCTCATCAACTACATAGTTACTCATATTATCTTTACCAACTTTCTAACTCTATGTACAAGACATGATCACATAACGTATAGCATATTAGTATGCCCCATCTACAAGAATGATTTGTTCCCAAACTTCTTCTTCATTATCTAAGTAAATGGTTGATACATTGATAAAAAATCATCTTTCATCTGAAATATATCAGTCATAAATTACATTTATCTTAGACATAGGATATTACATATACAGTTGGGAGCAAACTTGTCTTAATATCATTATAATTGTCTGTTTTCAGTAGTTGGTACATATAGTCAATTTCTCCCTGCGTCTCCACTTTAAAAATATGTCAGAAGTATTATATGGTATACTCTCATACTTTAAATTATCAAAGCAGTTATCCTCAAAACCAAACGTTATCGGTAATTATTTAATTATCCATGCTTTAATAAAATGTTCATGCTTAAATGAAAGTTATATTTCAAGTATAATTATATGCGTAATGAGAATTAATCCTTCCTTGATATCACTTCCACTTATGTAATAAGTACACATTTTTAGGATATTGCATGTAGTTATGCCATTTTTATCAATACAATATAATTCCCTATATTGTCAAATAACATACATGTATACAAGATTCCCGTTTAGGATTTCAAACATGGGACTTGATCTTTTGTAGAACTGGTAAATATGCTTCCATGGTGAACGCAAAGTTTCATATACAAATGTAAGATATCTTGTTCAATACATAGTTCAGTATAAAATACAAATGACAAGAGTTTCTTAGTACCTCCCTACCATTTTCACCTCTACAGAGGTTCATCAGAGGAACAGTTTGGCTGTTTGGTGTTAAAGCTTAAACATGAAAGGGACACCGAGGATGAAAAATAACGCGGAAGTTAAAAAAAACAAGTCAATAATTCGGTGCAATGTATCTGTATATCATTCTACACACACAGTACTATGTAAGTGTGCAAGTCTATACAACAGTGCATTCGCATGTGACGGTATATGTTTATTCAAGCCTATCCTACCCGGATGCTATTGGGATACCTTACAGTGTAAACCAGATTGAGCCAGTCAGTTATGTACACAAGTAAACAGAGCCCTAAAAAGTGACACTAAGATGGCGTCGTCACGAATGTTGTTCAGCTTTTGAGGGGTACACAAACCTGGTATCTAAGGTAAGGTACATGTATGTAGTCAATAGCGTGCGATACCGTTTGTTTTGTTAATATATATAATCAGTAGTATTTGACAGCAATATTGTAAATGTCTGACTGTGCTATTTACCCAGTAACCTATACCATAAAACGCCGTGTATTAATCAATCAATGGTATATGGAAAATTCGTTTTAGTTGTATCATCATTTATTGAAATTTCAAGTCTTATTTTAATTTTATTATTCAAGGAATTGTTTAATCGTAGTCGTATATACTTCATACGTTTGGTTTGGTTTAGTATAGTTAANATTTCACTAGGTAAATAATAACCAAATTTGAAATAAAAAGTTGTTACATGGTCCTGGTAACATTTTCTCAAATTAAT